AAGGTAGTAAGCCTAACTCTGGCACATCTCTGGCGATTTTGGCCCGAATGTGCCAGGTGACAGCCGAACTGTCAAAAAGTGAAGCCTAACTTTGGCATTAGTTCGGCGATTTTGGCCCAAAAATGCCAAAGCTCTACCGAACTACAAGGTAGTAAGCCTAACTCTGGCACATCTGTGGCGATTTTGGCCCGAATGTGCCAGGTGATAGCCGAACTATCAAAAAGTGAAGCCTAACTTTGGCATTAGTTTGGCGATTTTGGCCCAAAAATGCCAAAGATCTGCCGAACTACCGGGCAGTAAGCCTAAATCTGGCATTTTTTAGGCGATTTAGGCCCGAAGATGCCAGACGGCAGCCGAACTACCCGGCAGCGAAGCCTAAGTTTGGCACTTGTTTGGCGAATTAGGGCCAAGATACCCAGACTGTTGCCAAGGGAGGTCAGGTTTGGCACTACTTTGGCTTCTTCGGGCATTTTAATGCCCTAAACTGCCAGACGCAAGCCAAGTTTTGGCCCAGAACTCGGTGCTGCCTGGGCTTGTTTTGAGCCGGACCCGATCTCAGCAATTCATGTCGATCTAGGGAAAGCTAGGGAACAACCCGCCAGCAACACCAAAGTTGCTGAGAAAGTTGCTCCGTCTGAAGCGGGCCTTAGCACATGACACAGACCCACCCCGAGGAGCCGGAGGAAACTAGACACCCCCGGCGGGACTCCCCACCCTGGGAAAGCGGAAGGAAAGGAAAGTAGGCATGTAAGCACTTGATACGACGACATAGAAAGGGCGGTGCGAGCGTAGACATGGCCAACGCGGGTTGCACAGCGGCAAATCTTTGAGAAACCTTTATTATCTACCTGAGAGTCTGCTGATCTTGAAAATCGTGCCTATTGATAACTAATCCACTGAATAGACCTGTTGCTAAATTACCCAAGCATCAAGGAGGATGCAGAGAATGGTGTTACATGTGCCGGCATCTGCAGCAGTAACTGTTCCAAAGCAAAAGCCTAAATCAAATGGCATCTTAGACGTGCGTTAGTGAACGCTTTATTTTGGTCATTTACTCCGAATGTTTTATACGGGGAAGGCGTGTTCAGAGCTTTTAGTCACTGCACACAAAGAATCCACGGAACTTTAGAACTTTGGCATCGTCCGACGAAATCTCGCACTTTGCAAATGACAGCATCAACCGCATCTTCCGCGCTTGCTCGGTGATCGCGTTGCACGTCATGGCTAGGGACCGATTGTGCACTTCAGCGACGTACGTTGCGAGCCTGACCTCTAAACTCCGGAAGGCGTCCCCACCTATCCAGACTTGGGCCCGCAGCAGCCTCTTTGTTTGCCGTTGGAGTTAAGATCCCGCACCTTTGCAGACTCTACTGGAGCACCACTCGCTCCGATGGGTCACACTTGCATCCAGCGGTGCAGTTGTTGGTTGCTTCTGGATGAAGAATGGCTGTAAACGTGCACCAGAAACCTAAACTGCACCAATCACGCGTGTCGATGCTATAAAACGTAGTTGGCACTCCGGCATGATCTTCTTGTGTGATCAAGCGACATGTGACCGTGAATCGCGCGAAAAATTGCACAAATAAGCCACAGAGAGTTAGACGCAAGGCTGCTCTAGTCACGGGTTCCAGCTGCCATTCTGGGCTGGCTCTTAGAAGAAGTGCCATCACCACTGGGAGTTGGGCGCGCCGTGCGCTGTTCACCACTGTGCATTCGGGCTAATTTGCAAATCACTATCAATAATACTCGTATGTGTAAATTAAAAGAACAAAAAAAGAACTTGTAAAATGAGTGCACAGAATAGTGCAATGCGACAGGTACAGCCAGCTGAACGTGTAAGAGATGTTCTTGACATCACAATTGTTAAGTTTTTGTTGGTGGTGGAGGGCTTTGCTTTGATTATAGGTCACTTCAGATTTTCAAAAATTGCAATAAGGGTCGACCTACAGTCATGTAAATATGGTAACAGTTTTGGAAATGTTTTGCCTCCCTCTCTTTATCATGGTCAAGGTCAAGGATAGTGCTCATTCCCTCCAAGTTCGAGCCAAACTTCAAAGCACTTGTTTCACGAATGCAGACGCATGGAAAGAACCATAAAGAGCATTATAAGTGGATTTTGCTGTGCCCAAAAGCTGAGGTGAAAGAAGTACCGTATTTATTCGATTCTAAGCCGGCATCGATTCTAGGCCGACCCCGCAAAAACGGCAGGGCCGAAAAATAAAAAAAAAAATTCTCAATTCTAGGCCGACTAAAAAGTATAGGAAAAACACCATAAATTAAACACAGAACGGAATTTATCTGCAATGTACAGCACTATTTCAGTCACGAATCCGACGGTATGCTCACGGTTCATGTCTGCATTTTTCCTGATCATTCGTCGTCCTCACTGGTATCTTTGTCACTGTCCGCTTCCCACAACGCGTGGTCATTCGTACCGTCCAGGGCATTCGAGATGCAATACTTTCGGAATGACTTTACCACCAGATCCGCCGGGATGTCGTCCCATGCGGCCGCGATCCAGCTCGCCACCTGACCCGACGAGGCACGCTTGATTCGACCGGTCGGGGTCAGTTGGTGGTCTTCCTGCGTAAGCCAATCTGTATAGTACTTCCGGAGCCTATCCTTAAACGGCTTGTTGATTGTGACGTCCAACGGCTGCAGTTGGCTTGTCATGCCTCCGGGAATGATGGCCAAATCCGTCGCACCTTCGGAAAGCACGGTTTTCACGGAGTCCGTCAGATGTCCGCGGTACGAATCCAAAACGAGGAACGAGTTCTTGCTCAGTGCTGCACCTGGACGGCGTTGCCAAATCAACTTCACCCATTCCTCGACCAAGGCGCTGCTCATCCACCCTTTCTCGTTCGCCCGCACAACGATCTTTTTGGGGAACTCTTCTCCAGCGGGAAGTGTTTTCCGTTTGAAAATGATGTATGCTGGCAGTTTGTGTCCGTCGGCAATGCAGCACAACATCACCGTTGTCCGCTGTTTCTCGTACCGAGCTGGTCGAATCTTGACTTCTTTCGCGCCCTTTTCATTTACTGTGTACGCAAGGGGCATGTCGAAGTATACAGGCGTCTGATCAACGTTCCCAATTTGTCCTAGAAGGTAGTTCTTTTCTTGCCTCTTCCTTATCACATATCGCTGGAATCTGATCAACTTCTCCTCAAAGTCCGTCGGCAGTTTTTGGCACACAGACGTTCGTCGTCAGAGACTGAATTCAAATCTCTTCATGAATCTTTGCAGCCAACCTCTGCTTGCTTTGAACTGCGTCCGAGGCACACCTCGTTCTTTTGCAACTTCTCTTGCTTTTGCCTGAATGATTTCTGTTGTTACGGGATGTGCTGCTGCTCTTTGGGCCCTGATGAAGTTTGCGACCTCGATCTCCACCTCGTGGTGCCTTCCCTTCCGCGGTCCTGAGAACGCCATTCTTGTTGCCGCACATGCAAAGAGCTGACCACGCTGCTTTCTCCAGCGACACACATCTTTTTCGTCCACGCCGAAGTCACGATGGGCTTGCAGGTTGGACGAGTGTTCAGCAGCTAAGACAACTTTCCTCTTAAAAGCCGCAAAGTAGTGTCATCGACTGGTCGATGCCATAGCGTTGTGTAGAGACAAACGTTCCGTGCGTTCCGTGGTACACAGCGTATCTTCCTGAAGCGATCTAGACAAGATGGCGTCCCGCGGTCATGGCGGAGCCGGATCCTCGTATCTAGGCCGACCCCCGAGTTTCGGATTTAATTTTTTTGGAAAAACTATCGGCCTAGATTCGAGTAAATACGGTAAAAGAGAAAGCTCGAGGTACGCCTAAGGACTTATGAGTTGTGAATGTGAAAGCATGCAAGCCGCTCGTCCGCTCCCTTTTTCGTCTGCTGCATACTTTTCGTCGCCAGTCAGCGTGCGTGCTCCCCTGCGCACGCTGACCCTGGACGCTCTGTGTTAACGGTGCGCTGATGGAAACGTAGCACCATGAGGCGAGCGGTCGTGTAAACTAACGAGCGCAGCAGCCAACAGGGGTCCCTTCGATGCACGCCAGCAAATGGAACCGAAAGTGAAATCCATCAGCTTTCTTTGCTCCTTTGGGATTGGGGAAACTAGGTGCCGTTTTCGTGCTTCAAACTGATGACGTCGGCTCACTCCATGGGACAGTTAATGCTTTCGCATTAAAAAATAGTGGCATGCCCCCTTTTACAGCGGAGCTGTTAAGGGCTAGGTTCCCCAGGATCGTGTCCGGCACCAAACAAACGTCAACACAAAACTCTTGACAGCTGCCGCCATCTATGAGCAACGGCGCCAACCAGACAACCAGTTTTCCGTCCTCGCTCATAAATGGCGGCAACCTTTCCAGCCTTTCCACTCTGATTTTCACCAGAGTGGAAAAGCTGAATTTCTCTAGGCGTCTTGTTAGATGTCCTCCTCAAGGTCGTCTTAGAAGTCGTCCTTGAGGTCGTCCTAGACGTCATCCTCGAGGTTGTCCGAGAGGTTGTCCTTGAGGTCGTCCTATAAGTCATCCTCGAGGTCACCCTAGAGGTCGTCCTAGACTTTGTCCTTGAGGTCGTCCTTAACCTCGTCCTTCAGGTCGTTCCTGAGGTTGTCCTAGGCGTCGTTTTTGAGGTTGTCCTTGAGGCCGTCCTAGAAGTCGTCCTTGAAATCGTCTTAGACGTCGTTCAAGAAGTCGTCCTTGAGGTCGTCCCACCATAGTACCAGCTTTGCTTGTCTTCCTTCTTCACCAGAGTGGAAAAGCTGAAAGTTTTTAACTGCAACTCTTCTCTTGAAAATGTAATTTTTTATGGCTCTTTGCATACGTCCTTCGAACCACCCCTGTTTTATGCGGTATGACTAACAATTGCACTCCATACTGTCATTCTTGGCTGCCCATTCTCTTCCTCTGTCGTCAAGAGGGAAAAAAGCTGGCCCACCTTGCTGCTCACTCTGGCCTCTAGGGAAAATGATGAGCGGTGAGAATCCTGAGGAATTGTTCTCTCTGTCATTTGTTTCTGCAGGTGGATCCAGTGTACCATCGGGAGTTTGTCTCCTGGAGGCAGAACCCTGGCCTGGACCCCAAAGACCCGTTCCTGGCACGCATCTACCAGGAGGACATCCTGCCCTGCCTTCACTTTGCCACTCAGCAGGTCCGTGGGCACTCTCAGATCGACCGGTTGTTAAAGGATTACTGACACCCCACACATTTTTTTCTTTGCCATGCGATGTAATATGGTGTTAGTGGACTACCCAATGAATATTTTGCTAAAGTGTTGCATATATTTTAATGAAGTCAGAAAATGCAACTGCTCATAACCGAAACCGAAACTGGACTGGGGAGGAAGAAGAAATATAGAGACAAAAAAAAGTAGCCATTTTTTTTAAACAAAATTTCTGTTTTAGTATTAGCCCTGCAGGGTTACTAGAGCTCTTTGCTTGCCAATTTAAAAAATTTGCAACAAGTAATTAAAAAATAATAACATAAAATGTTAAAAAAATTGTTTTAGTGCATTTTTATTGTGGGTCTACATTCATAACATATATATTAAATTTCATTACCCTTACTTCAGCTATTCAATATTTAGAACACACTTTATCAGGTACACTTTCAAACTGTCACTTCACCTTAAAGGATACATGCGAAGGGAAAAAACATTTTTTTAAATAGCCTAGATGGAGAAAGAATGCAATAAAACAAATTTACAACGAAGAAAAAAATGAAGCCATATTTACAGCGCAAAACAAATTAGTAGTTGGCGCCCGCGGGAGCTGCCGCGGGTCACGTAATACACCTGTGTGCCGTTTCTCTACGTGGCCGCGCAAGTTCGTCTGCTCCGCAGCACCGCCGCCATCATCTGACCGGCGCACAGATCTATCACGTCTGCTTGCGCTTTTTCAGGAGCTTCCTTTGGGCTCTAAAACTTACTTATTAATCTTCGTTTTCTGTTGCACTTGAAACAAAGATGAATAAGTAACTTTTAGAGACCATAGGAAGCTTCCAAAAGAGCGTAAGTACCACATGACAAATAGCGGGCAGTGACGTGACAAATAGCGGCCATTTTTCCGCGGCGCCCACAGGCGCCAGCTACAAATTCGTATAGCGCCATTAGTATAGCTCTAAAAATTTTTTTTTTTTTTGTAAATTTGTTTAATAACATCCTTTTCCCAACCAGGCTGTTTAAAAAAAAAGGTATTTTTCCTTTGCATGTGTCCTTTAAGGACCATGAAATGATTTTTCAACATCTTCCTCCTTCACTTTCCTCTTTAACTCAAAAGTGAAATGAGAAATCGGGGGGGTCGTGACGTAGTGTTCCACCGGAACCGGAAGTTCTCCCAGGCATCTGAGGGTCGGCAAGGTTAGGCGTCCGTGTCCCTCGCGTCCGATGCAATTGTCGATAAATGTGAAGCTACAGTAAATGTTGGGCTACAGCAATCGTCGACAAATATTGAGCTGCAAGAAGGTTGGGAGGGCTGCCCTTAAAGCCTTCTTGCTGACGTGGTCAGCTTTACATCACTGGCCAGTCCAGTTAATTTTGCTTTCATCGACGTAAATACGAGTAATGTCAGGTTGTCAACTTGGACGATGTTGGTGTCGGAACGCCACGACTCCAAGCTTTCACCGTGCTTTTTGAGCGAACCGCCGACTTGCCCAAACTTCTACGTTAGTCAAAACCGAACTTGCGTGGAACTTGCAAACCCACTAAACGATATGCAATTTCTAAAATCACAATTTAGAATCATTTATTCCAGCCCAGAATTTATTTCACGGTCCCTTTAAATCTGTTGTGTGAGCGACGGTTCCACGAAAACGTCTGAACAACCGAGCATGTCCATTATTTTTGTGTGTGAACAATTGTTTGGTGGGTGTATGTTGGCGACTCACCAGTGCAGCTTCTGGTTGAGAAGTTTCCAGTTGTGAGTTGCAAAGACTGATAGCTGCTTGTGTGCAGCTAAGCCAAGAGGTCCTGAGGGCCATCGAGGACAACTGCATCACCATTGAAGCAGTCACAGGCAGCAATCCTTTCCCCAAGTAAGCTTCCGTCATTGTGTGACTACACTGGACACTCAGCAATTAGAAATTTCGAAGAAACCACAAAATACTTTAAATTAAGCCCTCTTGCACTGTTATCTGACTAATAGAGCTTACTGAGAATTAAGAAAGAATGTACGATTTTGGCTCATTTTCGTCGCTTCAGACAGCCACTGCCAAACATGCTCTGCGTGCTTGTGGTCGAAGGAAGTGCACTTGGCAACCGCTCCTCAAGTATGGAAATGCCCCATGAGCATTTTCATGCTCCCGGTGTACTCGAGACTCTGCGACATGCGAGAAAACAATTGAATTAATCTTGTTCAGAGATCTAGCCCTAAAATTAATAATGCATTTCTTTGTTCAATAACAATGAAAGGAGCGCCGTGAAAGATTGCGTTAAAAGGCACTTGTTCTTTATTTGAAAGCATGTTACATTTATAGTTCTTGGAGTACATTGCCTCCCAGTGTACTTGCTACTTTACTTGAAGTACATAATCCCCAATTTACTTAGTGCATTACTTAGAGCACTGTATAGATGCACTTTATCCAACACTGCCTGTCGCAACCTTGGCACGGCAGAGGAGTCCGACGCGGCAGACGCATTTCCTTCTGTAGGATTCTTCCTGCAGACACGACAGTTCGGGAAAGATTTGGCGGCCACGAGTTGGGACATTGCGACACTCTCGTTTGCTCGTCTCTTTTTGCCGGAACTGCCACGACTGTCCGCGAAGATTGCGACGTCCTACGGCACGATGCACTGACTCCCGCAACATACTTTGCTGCTGGTTTGGGATCGCTTTCGATGCACGGGCGTCGTAGGGCACTAAATACACCACGGTCAAAAACTCGTTCGAGGCACCGCAACGGGGGGACAGTCTGCGCTATTGGACGACGCAATTTCTTTGTGTTCACGAAGAGAGTGCTAGTACGGTGCCTGGAACGTGTCTTTGACTTGCGTATCTTCCACCGTATCCCAGCCACGCGTCGAAAGCGATTCCAAAGTGACATCTTGTAGCGGTTAGCCGTAGATATTCCGGCCAAAAAGGCGGGTCGATGCCAGGGTCGCTCTCGTCGTGGCGTTCCGTCTCGCGTCCGCTTCGGTCTCCGTCGCCTCCACTTCCGTGGCACCTCCGGGATCGCGGAGGCACGTCTGCAACGTCGTTGTAAAGAGATTGACGGGCCTCGTTCGAGGACGCGGCATGTAGAGCGGTCCGAGACGCGTTCTGGCCACCGCGGCCCGGCGCTGTTCTGGGCCCCCGGGAGAACGGCTGCGGCAGGGTGTGTGCTCCTTGGCTCGCAGGAAGTGCTCCCTCCTGGACGCTCCCCGGCTCTGCAAGTACCGCATGCGCCTGGGGGACTCGTCTTCCTGGCACTACATCTCACAGCTCTGCAGGAACAGGGTGAGGGGCTGTTGGACTCTCTTAGGACGACCGACCCTATACTCGGTTTTGCATGACTGTGCTCTATGTAGATATACTCCCTTTCGCCATAGCTTGGCAAACTGTGGAGGCGCGCGACGACGCTCCATGGTGGAGGCCACGGAGGTTTCCTTACCGCTGCAGCAATGGCACCATCCGCGACAGAAAGTACTTTAGGAAAGTACCATCCGCGACAGAAAGTACTTTAACGGCAATTGAACTCGCTCAATTCCATCTCTGTTGACAATATACGAAAAGTCAAAAATAATTTCACTCATTTAACGGCTTCAATTATATTTAAACAAAAACATCCGTATCCACTCCCCATTTTTTTTCTTTTATAGCTGCAGCCGTTGGCTATCGCAGCGGTGTAATCGACTGCTTCCGCTCAGAACGTTTCCTTTTCAATGGCACTCGCCGCAGATTCATGGGTGAATAGAGCGTACGTTTGTACCGGGAACTGTTCCTAAAGAGCTGGCGCTGGCAGGAGGCGACCTCCATGCCGTCTCTCGCCAGCGCGTGCACGTCGAGCTTTACCGCTTCGCATCGGAGTGCCAGGAGCAGCAGCTGGTGTGGGTGAGCGCCTGGGTTTGCGCGATAGGCTTGGGAAGTTTTGTTCGGTGCTATTACAGGTCTCCCTTTTTTTATTTTTGATTGTAGATAGATCTGAAATTTTTTAAAAGCTGCATGGAGAAAGACACAAAAAACCAAAAGTGCATCTATATTTGAATAATACGCTTGTCAAGGAAGTTCTTGCGCAGCTGCTGATCAAAACAGCAGAGAACTTTTGACTTTGAACCTGTTCCGACGCCACTAAAGAGCAGTGTCACTTTTAAAGCATGAGTGTAGGTTTTCGTAATATCTCTGGTTGGCTGTTTTTGCAGTTTATAGAGTGTTTCTCTTGGTAGGTTCATGAAGCTTGGGGGAAGCATTTTTATTGATAGACATATTAGCAGAAATGCTGGTTTTTGCTGGCATTTTACGGGAATATAATATTTAGAGGCTAAATAAACTTCCCGGTGTAAAAGTAGGAGGGGTGAGAGGCTGGTATCCCAACTGAAGTGTTGCACCTCTAAAAACAAGGCTTTGTGTTCCTTTTCCACCCTATCTATTCTTATTACAAAATGTAATGAGTAATTTGCTCCAGTATCAAAGAGGAACCCTCAATCATTATCAGAGATGGACTCGTTTAGAGATGCGACAAGTGTTCCGTTTTCGAGTGATGTGCTAGCAGGTGTTGGCGTCTGCTCTAGAAGCGTTGGCGGCTGCTTCCAACCAATATCTTGCCTGCTACAGAACCTGCCACAAAAGGTCAAATGCCGCTTCCGTCACTGAGTTCGCCAAGTTATCGTTAAACGGAGTATAGTTGCGCACGGTGTGTCAGAGCCACAGCCGGAAAAGAGGAAATTTGTTTTTGTATGAATCTTGAGCGGCGGGATTATCTTGTATGAGGAAGAAAAGCGACGTCCAGGACATGGAAAAGAGGGTCCGAGCAAAAGGGAAGTTCCACCCTTCTTTTTCTCTTTATTTCCTCAATCTGACCCAGTAGATGTCTCCCCAAGCATTCTGGAATGGTAAGGGCTTTGTTGCTCGCGGTTGCGTCCACCCCAAACTCGGCGGGTCGAACGGGTCTAAACCGAGATTGCCAACTATGGTCAGTGGCTAAGTGTAGTTTGGTCTGCCTTGTAACTGCACATAACTGTGGGATAATTGCAGTTGACTGAACCACAGTTATTTCTGCGTGTATAAAAGCGGCCCAAGCGGCTGATGTAACTGCTCGAGCTTCTGCGTGCTGCTGCCTGGTCTGTCCTAGCGCCACTAAATTTGAACCGCACTTTATCCACCTTGGTGCTTAAAATCGCGGTGGCCAGTTATCTCTAGCTTTATCCGAAATAATAGGAAGCGCTCTTCGGGTCCTCCAAGAAACGTTGGAGTGGTCTGCAGCAGGGCAAAACGACATCTCCTGGGCTTCTGGACGCTGTATCCGAAGATCAGGAAGTCGCATTTTCGATCTCTAACAATCGATGATAGTGTACATGCTGCACTAAGCCCCAAGATGGTGATGCCCACAAGAAAATCTGCGAATGGAGTGTGGATATTCTAAGCGTAGCTCACTTTGTGGCTCTAGTTTGTCCCTGTGTCGCGGTGCAACAACACTTGCGTTGCAACAACATCTTTCCCCCGCAGATAACCTCAGTCTGCGACCTGTTCTGCTACCTTAGGTACATCCAACAAGGACTCGTTCGGAACAGCAGTGAGTATCCATTTCTTCGAGCCACTTCCAACAGTTTTATTTATTTATTTAAAATACTGTTGGCGTATTTTCTGCTCCAGCTGGTTACACAACAAAAAATTGAGCAATGCGGCACTGCACACACAGAAAGAAAAGAATCTATGTTACTAAGTGTAAGTACAAAATGACTGGGTACAAAAACCATGGTGCCGAAAAATGGCGTCTAGTTCCAGGAATGCGACCCATTTTCTCGTTAAGTCTGTCGAAAAATTGCTCGGGACTTTTTACCGTAAAATCCCATGGGCGCCTCCCTCGAGAGATTGCCCAACCCATTTTTCTGGCTAAATATTCTTAACATTAAAATTCCAAAACTTTGTTCACCCCCGATTCTCCTCGTACATCATGGGATGTCCGATGGGAAGCAGATCAACTGCGCAGCCTGCACTACACGTGACGAGCAGGTTCGCGTGTTTGTCCACAATTTGCGGGCGCAATATCAGTTCCCATGGCACGCTGGTTTAGCCGGTTTCTTTGTGTTTATCATTCTGTGAAACAAGAGCCTGCTGCATTCACAGTCTACAGTATCCTTTCCCGTAACACAGGAGTTCATACGGAATTCCTGCGTGTTTACTGCGTTGTGAAATGCTACATTGTCATGTCCGCGATCCTCACGATGGGTTCCCATGTCACAAGGTTTGTAGTGGGTCTTGTTCTCTCTCGGGGTGTTTCTGAAAAAGATTTGCCCTCTTGACCCCCAAGTTAGAACCGACCTTATGTTTTTCATCATTTATCTCTCCGTTTTGGGTTGATGCCCTTACAGGATTTTACGGGAATTAGATAATGACATGCTTCTAACTTTTGCCTTTGATCGGGACTGCTAGGGCATGAGACACAGCATTTAACGATACATAGCTTTAGTTTATTTTTATGGTGAAATAAACACTACCTTAAAATGCCGTAAGAACGTCCACCCAGATATGAAGAGATGAATGGTGAAAAACATAGGGTGAGCAGTAGCGTCTTTGGAGATGCAACAGCAAAATTTTATAAAAAATAGGGATACAGACTGGGGCCCTCTATAAAGCGCGTGGCATGGCAAATTTGCGTTTCAAGATGCAATAAACACGTGGGAATTCGCTACAGTCTTTTTTGTCCCAAGAAGGGATACCACAATTTGCGGACGCAGCATGTTCGCGTTTGACGGTGCGTAGAATGTGTGGGAACCTGCTACGAACTTGTGTGTCACAGGAAACGATAGAGAGTTGGCAAGTGCAAGCACCACGCATATATGGTAGTGTTGCATATTCCACATTACGCACGCTTATATGTGCGGAGTGCCACGAGCCTTACATACGTACGCTCGCTATCAATTGTCGCGTGCATGTGTAGCAGTCCTTTGCATTGCTGTCTCGTTCTTGTCACACACGGGACAGCACAAGACTGCGATTGGCTCGTTTCGCTTGGAGCAGTTTGCATGTGCACATCTAGATGGCTCTGCAACTGCTTGCATATGCGTTTTCATTACAGTCTATTAAAAGCGGTGATTTGATGCGCTCTGCAGCATTCCGCCAAGAGCTTGCGTACGTCGTAGGCAGTGCTATTGCGAGGGTATTCTAAAACTCGCTCATATAGTGCATGCAGTTCACGGACAAAAGCGCAGGGACCCGTAGGAGAGTACCTACTCCAAAGTTACTCTCCCCTACCCCTGCCATTACGGGTAAGGCATACCCAGAGAGAAGGCTCACCATCTTTACGAGCCCAGCATCGCGGCTCTGGCAGTAGCTTTTTCCAGTCTTTGCCAGTATTCGGCAATGTTCTCGTTTGACCCGTCCAAAAACCTTCCGTTGGCACACGTGCTGCTCGCCTTTCTTGTATTTTGGAACAGCATCGTTAGTAAATCATATTTCATTACTTTGACTCTTTGCATGGACTTGCTAAGCCTCACACCCGCTACAAACTTGTATGTCATGGGAGCGGATACCTCAGATCGCGGACACTGCAGTTTCACATTTTACGATGCAATTAACACGCAGGGACAACTTGCGTGTCAATGAAACCGCCATCGCACGTGCAGGTTGCGGACGGAAAAATGCGGGAACCAGCTACAAACTTGCTTGTCACACGTACGGGTATCGGCGATCGCACAGTTCATATGATTCCCTCTGACATCGCACAATGTCCAAGGGAAATCGGGGGCCGGGCGACGTTTCGGTATTTTTATGCTATGGATATTTAGCCAGAAAAATGGAATGCACAATCTGTTGGGGAGGGCATTCGTAGGGGATTTTACAGTACACGTACATCTTTTTCGTACACATTTGGTTGTTTGAAAACAAATAGGCTTACCGAGCTATTCTAAATTAACTTTGCTTTTATTTGATCTATTATGTACTCAGACACTGAAATTTTGAATGCAACTCATTCCTTGTGTTTGGGGAACATTGCAACTTGGGGGGCCAAGAAATTGCTTTAAGTTGTTGCCTTATTGCCTATCCTTACGGCATACCAAATGCTGGCATGCATTGGGTACGCCATTTAGTGATTCAAGCCAGAAATGCTGTTATCTTTTTTTATGTTTTTATGCATTTCCCAAGTTCTTATTGAGGATGGCCACAGTCTTACACTGAATCACCGTCAGCTGTTGTGCGCTGTTCAAATATTCAGAAGCTGTCCTGTTCTGCAGAACTGCAGTCACAAATGCAGTTAATTAAGAAAAGACTTAACGCCCCCATATGTTTTTTGTTTTTTTTGCCAGGTGATTATTATGATGTCAGAAGACTACCCAATTAATATTTTGCTACAGCATCACATGTATTTTTAATAAAGTCCAAAAACACGACTACTTCAAACGGAAACCGAAACTGGAATGGGAGGAAGAAGGAATATAGAGGAGGAGAAAGTTACTGGAGGTCACGTGGCTGTGCAACTTGTTTTTTTTTCACTCAACGTATTTGCAGCTGTTTAGAAGTCACAAATAATGGGTATCATATTTATTGTCTATTTTTAGTATTGAGCGTGTGCCTTCAGTGACCCACGACTTTGATTATATTTGGTGGTGGTGTCTAAAAACATAGAAAATGGCACGTGCTCACAGGAGAGTGAGCGCGACCCAGACCAGCTTGTTCTCGATCGGTGGTTTTCGGGAGGAAAGAAACCAAATTTCGAGCCGCAAATTGTGTTCTGGGTTCTTGGGCTCTCATATCTCGTATACAAATAAAAAGCTTGGCGAGCATAAATACCCTGTCAGTGTGTGCATACCGGAATATAGGTCAAATTTATTTTTGAAAATGGACCCGAAAAAGTCGACCCTTGTCTTATATAACGGTCATTAGCGGGAAAACAAAAACAATCTCGCAACACTGGGTGACTGAGGCCGCCATTTTGTTTTCCTTTGCGCTCGCCCAGCACTTGTCCCCTTGTCACGATTGTCGCGATACACTTTCACTTGTGCTCCTTGGTTTGTTACATCTCCCGGAGTAATAATGAGCGGAAGGAGAAGACAGTTCACGGTACCCTTCAAGAAGAAGGCAATTGCCTATGCAGAGATTCACGGGAATTTTGCTGCGCAGCGAGAGTTCGGTGTATCGGATAAACGCATATGCTTCTGGCGAGGCCAGAGACAAAAACTGACAGCGTGCAGCTAGGCGAAGGAAACTTCATTTCGTGGAAGGACTTGAATGTACCCCAAATTGGAAACAAAGATGGGAAATTTTTTTCCGGATCTGCGCTTCAGACCGCTACCTGTGACGTCGGAGTGCATCTGTGTGAAAGCCGTCGAGGTCGCTCGTGCCTCCGAGCTCTCGAGGGCGCAATTCAAAGGGACGCCATCGTCCCTTGGGAACCTGTCGTCGAACGAAAATTCTGAAGAATCTGAGTAGTAACGCTCGCGCACTTCCTGTTTTATTGCGTGCAAAGCAAGTAGATAATTGTGCCATGTTTTCTCGTCCTTCCGAATACTTGGCCAATTTTGTTACCAAGGTAAAGAAAGTTGCATTTTCTTGCCACAAAAACTTTTTTTTCGCTTTTTGCAACTTGTAAATTAGGGGGTCGACCTATATTCCGGTTCAACCTATATTCCAGTTTATACGATATGTAGCAAGCCTCGCAATGTTGGAGAATGTGGGCAGATGCATTATTAAAGAGCAACTCCGCTTCATTTTTGTTCCTGAAAAAAACAAGGCAGTCCCCTTCAGTATCACCTAGGAAGACCACACGTCAAATATTGCCACCTAGTTCTGTCTACAGTCAAGCCTAGTTATATCGCACTCAGATATTTCGAATTATTGTTTATATCAAACAGTCCAAACATCCCCTTGAAAATCACATGTATTGCCTCTTTGTATCCAACTCCCATGGCGGGGACACTCGATAAAGTAAACGAAGCCCAACCACCCATTCCCGCGATGCGATTGCGTCGGTGGCAAGCACATCGCAGGGCTGGCAAACCTGCGATGTGCTTGCCACGTGATGGCTATGTTTTTGGCGGGCCAAGGGCAATGTTGCGGGTTGGAGCCGAAGTTTCGATTTCTGCTGATGTTTAAAGTAAGATTTAACAATATATATTACATTTTTCGCTAAGACAATGACATAGTGCCCTTTATTACCGTATTTACTCGCATAGTGAACACTTTTTTCTCGAAATATTGACCCATATTTGGGGGGGGGCTAAGTTAAGTTAGGTTCATTATGCGGGGTAAAATTTTTGCATTTTGATACTGAAAGCAAATGCCATTTAAGGTGCCAGTGTGGCATGGCAGGGTATGTTGCACGTCTCCACTGACGGAGGCAACCCATGGCTGGTCGTCGGTGCGACACAGTAATCATGCTTTATAAATTGCAAATTGTTTTTAGGGCGCTTTTGGCGTGCCTTTTGCCGAAGAAAAAGCGCCCCACGAAGCACACTCAGCATGGAGAGCAACGCTACCGTTCTTAGGCCTAACCACTTTCAGTCACTGTCCGAAAGCGGACCACGAACGACGGTGTGCTTGTTGACGTCAATGCATCTGATAGGCGAAGAATGTCCTGGGCTGGGCAGTCCCTCGACCCAAGCTTTCGTCAAATGTGTGCGCCGCTTGGTTTCACGGTTGATCACTTCCGCAACTACGCACTTGTGGCCGCTTGCAGCCATTACGAGAGCGGCTTGGCTTGTGCTTGACTTGGCGTGACCGCTTGGCGGCAGAAGAAAATTGACTTGGTGGCTAGCTAAATTGTACGCTATTCGAGACTTGCGGAGCCAAAAATATGGAAGTGCGTTCATTATGCGTGGGTAAAAAAAAAAAGTCCTAATATTGGTACTCGTTTTGGGGGGTGTGTTCGTTATGCAAGTGCATTCGTTATGCGAGTAAATACGGTATTGCTTTTTAATGTAAAATCACTAATTACTCCGAAATTTTCGGACCTGAGCAGAGTTGCCCTCGTGCGGGTTCTCAGATATTTTGGTCCCAAAGAACCCAATCTCCTTTGAATGGCAAGCGAGAAACTCCTCCTGATCATGACATTGACACAATAAAGCTGTGCAGGGGCCTTCAAACAGTGTAAATGACAATGTACAGAACAGTCCACTCATAACACTTTGAGTGCCCCCTGCCAAGCCCGAGTATACTCGTTTCGAGTTTTCAGTTTATTTCCCGCCACTTCCAACTTTACTCAAAATGACAAACAAACTTTTTGCTGGCAGTGGCATCTGTGGACAAACTATTGAACCACATTTTGTAGTTGTGATTTTGCGTTTTGATGCCAGGTGGAGAGAGTTGTGGAGGCAACTTCCTCCTTATGCGTTTCTGAGTCAACGTTGCATTTGAATGGCAAACCCACGCGCTTCAACTTCGCGCTTCTTGATGGATGCCGAAGTCCAGGAACTGCTAATGAATTTAGAAACTGATGACAGTGAAACTGAGTGATTTGGAATGCTGATGAATGTGATGGCGACTTACCACCTGAAAGGCTACTCGAAAAAAAAAAAAAAAAACTCTACAACACTGGCCTTAACTGGACTCCAGGTGACTTTGTTCCCAATGTGTACTTCAATTCAGAAGTGAATGGAATTTTCGAACGTAAAGCAACGTATTCCGGTTAATAAATGTATATATTGAATCATACAACTGCATTTGTGGGTGTAAATATTTTTTGTGCAGCGAAATCAACTTGGCTTGGGGTGCACGCTGGGACGAAAAAAAAACCGGCACTTAAAGGGTTGAAGGGAACACCGGATTGCATGCCCCTCTGGCTGCTGTGCCCCTCTGGCTGCTCTGTGCCCCTCTGGCTGCTGTCACGTGCAGAAGCTTGGCACAGATGCAGTGAGTGCGGGAGACGGTCTAAGATGAGTGTCGTCTGCTGCTGCGTCGCTCTTTCTCTCACTGCGCCATAGCCAACGTTACTAGAACAACTCAGTTGGGAAACTGCCGTAGAGCCTACTCTGGAAAAGTGGCACCGATTAGTCCTTTAGAACCAAACTAATGGCGATCGCAATGCCGGCATTAATCTCGCAGCGGCAACTCGCGGAACTGCACGGCTGCACGAATTTGTTCAGATCGAGTTGCGCAAGGGCCAGTTGCGTCATCTCGCAGTAGTCAGAGTATCACATTCGATAGCGTATGCTGTTACTCTTCAATTTTGGCTTTGATCGGCCTTTTTGGTACCAAAACGTATACAGTGGAAAGGGTTTCAGGGATACCAACCGCTGTCTTCCAAGCGGACGCGCCGCAAAGTACTACCGAGGTTACGATGTACCCAGGTCGCAACGCTCTACCTGAAATCACAGGTGAGACATGGTTTTACAAAAATTATAAAAACAATATTAATTGTGCCACAAAACCTTGTAAACTAAAGATTTTAGAAAACATCACACGCCTCTCATTCTGTACAAATGTCAAATAAAAGTTCCTTTTTTCCATTTTTTTTTATGCAAAAAAAAAACTTTCGAAATGCTCATGATGACCACAGTAAAGAAAAAAGATTGAGCCGCCATTTTGGCACCTTGAGCCTGGGAGTTTTCATACTCTGGGAACATTCAGTGACTCTAGCAGTAGCCATATAAAGCAACTTGCATGTTTCAACTCATCAGTAAAGGGTGGCGCTGTCATCGTATTTAGCTCGGTCTCGGTGGACGCCAGCGGTCCAGGTTTCAAGGGCGAGTTTCCCAACTGAGTGTTTTAGTAATTTTTGGCCATAGCGTTGCTGTAGCAGGCGACGCCTGGCACGCACCAAATCTGCACCAAGCTCCCGCAGGTGCCAGCAGCTGGCACAGCACTGTGTGCTAGCCGCATGTTCCGATGTTTCCTTTAAGAGCAGACCGCTTCGTACACACTAGTGGTTGGCCAACATCATCGAGAATAATCGAGGCCTGCAAATATCCTTCTCTTTCTCCATGGAACGTCGTCATAGTTGGATGGCGCCAACCCGACAATTGGACCCAAACGTGATGCCGAGCATCCTTCGACGCGTCCTTCGACCCAAACACTGACGCAGCACTCGCTTCCCATCCATCTTTGCTCGATCTCGCTGGGATGACCTCAAGATTCTAATGCGCAGGTTCTGTTTATTTTAGGTGGCGTTTTCTTTTGCTCATAGTAATGCGTGAATGAGTGACCCAGATGCACTAAAATAATGCCTTAGCTGGAAAAACACCTCACTCGGAACAGAGATGGTTGTGGAAATTTGGGAGCTTATGGAACCCATAAGGGTACGCCGGGAACCCTCCAATTCTTAGGAACCCAGTTTAGGAACTCGTGCATGAAAGGATTGGCAGTCACTCGGCCCATCCATGAAGTAACCGCTCGTTGCAAGCTTCCTTTTTTATTGTCGTTGTGCAGTTCACGAAGTGTACTGGGAGGTGATCCGAAGACGGAGGTGTATAGCACTGGCCCGGCTCGGGATCGGACCCTCCTCGTCCTAGAACGGCCAGCAGCGGAAGTGCCGCAGCTGGCCCTGGCAGTGCCGCAGCCGATCCCGGAAGTGCCCCAGCCAGCTTTGGAAGTGCCACAGCCGATCCCGAAAAAGCCGCAGCCACTCCTCGGAGCACAGCAGCCATTTATGGCAGTGCCCCAGCTGATTCTGGCAGTGCCGCAGCTGATCCTGGAATTGCCGCAGCCAATCTTGGAAGTGCTGCAACCGATCCTGGAAGTGCCACAGCTGATCCCGAAAGAGCCGCAGCCACTCCTTGGAGTACAGCGGCCATTTCTGGTAGTGCCGCAGCTGATCCTGGCAGTGCCGCAGTCACCACCCGCTCCGGAACTCGCTTTGTCCCTCTTCGCCTGGAGCATATACGTCTTTTGTATAGACATGAGAAACATTCTTTTAGGTTTCTCGAATATTTTTTCTTTCCTAGCAAGTGCAGCTTGCAGCTAGGTTCGCTGTCGTCTTAGACTCTACTTTAATGGGAGGGGCAAATCTCACCTCGCTGTGCCACTACCGCTTGGCATGCAAGATGTGCATCTTTGCATATATGATGTGCACCTAGCATGTATGACATGCAGCTTTGCATGTGAAATGTGCAGCTTTCCCATGTACGATGTGCACCTTTGCGATTTCATCGCACAGGCTGCAGAAACGTCAGGTGGTATCACCTCCATCGTTTTGGCCAAAGGGCGCATTGAAATACAAAAAAATGGCCATTCTTTAGAGAAGACGGTTCTTGCCCAAGGCACAATTCGTAACTTGGATGTCCCCTGTTTTTTTCCCAACTACTTAGGGCAATTTCTCGGAGTGTCGCCATGTCCGATTGATCGCTGGAGTAATTTGTTTTATCATATTTATACATTGCTGAGTGTACTTTTTCGGAGTGCAAGACTGCCTAGTTTTAAAAATATTTTGGCCGGTGACGGTGCATGGCGTAGGTTACGCAGTAACCAACTCTTCCTCTCATCTGACCTCGGTGAGACAATAGTGGAGCCGGTGGATAAAGTATTTTAATACACTAAACGTACATAGAGCGTGGGAAATGTCTAAAAGATCTTGGGCTTCATGTCCTTTGTTTTTGATCTTTACACGATGAATGTTTGGCAGACCTCCGAAGTAAATAGGTTGAGGTACTCAAATGTTGGTCTACATTTTGTGTAGCAAGGCCATATGCAAGCAGCATACCTACGAAATGCCCGAGTGGGCAAGGTGGTGATAACTATGGGGCCCTAAAATTCAGGATTCATGCCTTTCCTGGGGCCCCTGTAAATGAGAAATGATTTTTTGTGCTCTATGGAAGGAAATGGGCACATCAGTTCTGTGAGTCTGAAAGGCACAAGGTTAGGATCTCTGAAGTGATGACTGAAGTACTGACTTGTGCACTGACAGGGTTACTTTTTTTCTTATTGAAAGAAAAATGTGCGATTGTATTTTTAGCACAGGGAGCGACGACATCATGCTTGTGTGGTAAAATTTCTCAGGGTGCTTTTTATATTTGATAAAATCAAACTTTGTTGTCACTGAAGACCTTTATGATTGAAATGGGGGAGGGGGAACATCTTTTACCAATTATTTTTAGAAAATCATTACTTACGACAATTCCTTTTACATTCTTGTTTATTTTGAACTCCTTGTTTATTTCTGACAATGAATATAAGTTTTCTAGGTTCAGTCAACTCTGCTCTATTATCAGAACTTTGAATTATAAGGAAAGGGAAACATTGTGAAAGCAGTTTGTGGATAGAAACACTAGTACAAGCACTAGGTAAATCTTGCCACAGGGCTGGAAATACATTTCAGGTGGCCTCTTGCACGGCAGAGTAGAATGTAAGATAAGAAATGGTTATGGGTGTCGCAGTGTATAGAGCTACCATCCAAACTGTCCAGATTCTTTGAGAATGGAATTCTTGCTATTTACGTATTGCAGTAGTGCCATTCGCATGATTCATTTGGTTTGACACCAAAGCTAGCTCTCTTAGCTTTGGGTACCATTGTTTATATAAAATTTTACATGAGAGACAGCCACCCCGATGTTCAAAGCTTGACTGAATTGACCTAAAGTATGGGCGATTTGAGTTTGAATTGATGAGTGCCCAATTTACATTTTGACATTCTGAATGGAATTGTATTCACAATTTGTTCCAATGTTGCATTAGGAACAGCTTGTTTGATGGGAGTTCTGGTCTGCTCCAGCAATTTATACTTCCCTTGGATTTTAGTAACCTATGGATTGTGAAACGACACAGTATAGATGGTATTTGTACTTTGGCACTCTTAAATTTTCAAGAGCTGGTGATATTTCAGTGGCTTTGGTCAGTATGACCATATGTGAAATATGAGCAATGTTGTCTTTTGGTGAATTTGGGTGGTCAAAGGCTGGCATAACATGCCACTCACTTTGCTGGAGCATAGAATGCCAGCCACTGGCTCTTCTATTTGCTTACGTCCCACATGGTGCCTCTATCTTGTTTTTTGTTAACTTCTGTGCATTCATTTATGTCACATTGAACATATCGTACATGTCATGGACAGAATCTCCACTCTCATGTCACATTGGACAGATTGTGCATGTCACTGATAGAATATACTAGAGTGGCATCAGCATCTCTGACCTTTATGAATACATACAGAGTGTTGTCCACATCCCTGATGTTTTTTGACACAAGCAGTGTCATTTGTTCAAAATATTGGCATTAGCTCAGTTCCTAGACATTACAAGAATGCTTAATTCTTGTAATGATGATGCAATGGTGCAATGATTTTAAGGTGAAAGCCTTACTTGCCCCATTATGCGAAAAGCTGGCGGCATTGTGCCCGAAGATAAAAAAAAGACATATCATCAAGCACCATCATCAAAAATAAAACACAAAGAACAGTATAGCAATGCAGATGCCTCGTCACGGTAGCCGGCAGGGTGCTCAAGGTCAAAGCGGACACGCCAAAGAAACAAAATGCAAAGAAAAGCACAGCAACGTAGATGCTTCGTCATGGTAGCCGTGGAGCCGGCAAGGGCGTCTCGTCTGCACGGTAGGGAAGCGGGATGTCACCGACGGACGACAGCTCAAGCAAAAGGAAGACACACGCACGGACTGAATACAATGCCGGCAGAAACAACTTTAATACGTGTAGAAATATTACTCGAAAGTGTTTCACCCGTGGGACTATAATGTTTTCGCATTCCTACGGGGAAGCAGTCTTAAGTGTCTTTGGCAAATTTTTGCACTTTTATCAAATACCATGGCAAAGAAGCTTCTTGATTAGAGTCATTGCATGCAAGTATACTTCTGTCACACTAGTGTCAGTAAGCTTGTATGAAGTGAGAAGCATTTAAACCCAATATCATTTCATGGCCCCTTTAAAGGAATACTGCAACAAAATTCTAGCTCCTATTGTGTTGTCTAGGTGTCAAACACATTTTGGCTACACCACGGAAACACCAAGTTTATGCTCGACGTCAACTGGCCCATGCTGGGCCAGTTGACGTCACGCCTCCCGTGATTCATCACGCTCTCCAGTGGTCAATCTTCAAGCGCTCTCTTGAATCAGCCATCTGGAACGAAAAATGTAGCCGTCCATTCAAAATACAAGTGTGCGATTGTCATTAGCAGTTAGGGTTGATCATGTTTCACGTATTTACAAATGTGATAGGTGTGTTTTAAGTTTCGATTCAGTATCTCTTTAAGGCAGGATGGGGGGATCAAGAAAAATTTTTTTATTTTAGGAGGATCCTGATAAAAATTGGTTCGTACAGGTTTTGGTAATGCCTCCATGCTGAAACAATGAAAATATCATGGTCATATCTCAGTATCTTTTTCATTTACAACACTTTTCTGCTTCGAACATACTGGTGGTGAGCCTTGCAGAGCTTAGAAAATTTAATAGAAGGCTCGTTAGAGTGGGGCTGCATTCCCAAATGTATGCTGTGCTACGTGACATTGGGGCATTTTTTTTATTTCTTGCATAATATTTTTAGTTTGCATTCTTCATTACTTTGTTTGGAGTGGCACAAATGGCATACAGGTAAAGGACAACATTAAAAACTCAAGAAGAAATAACTTGAAAAACTGAGAACATCACAAAGTGGAGTGTAACTAAAAGAGTATAATAAAACAAATGGAACAAAAATAGTCCAAATGATTGCCAAGGTACAACCTCCAGGAGCAAAACAATGTAAAAAATACAGCTCTAAGAAATGCGCTTTAAAGTGTACCTCATTTCCTGAGCTAGTGTTAGTTATTATTTATAGTTACAGATCGCGAAGAAACGGTACCGAGATCATCGGAAAAACATTTTTTGAACATTTTCTGCAAGTTGATTTCCACATTCCTCCTTAATAGGATGTCCATGACACGACAGACAAATCACTGAAGGCCTCACCACTCTTTGCATACTCTTGCAACATTGACTAGATTTTTTGTTTTGTTTTTATTGTGAAATGTTTAGGGCCGGCTTTTTAGATTAACTAAAGCCACAAAAAACATAACTGTGAGTTAGTTGAGTTAACACCACTAACTCTAACTAACACTAACCTCCAACTCCACTAAACACTTAGTCTAACGCTAGTGGTTTAGCTCCACTAGCGCTAAACCAACAATGTTTCACGTAGCAACACAATTGCAGGCAATTTGCTATAGACCAACACATGGCTCTGACGTCACGCCTCTGGGTGGCGCTGTTGTCACTGCGCATGCACAGAAGCTTTACCTCAAGCGAGTCTGGTTTCTGCACTGGCACAGTGCCCATACCTGGTGGGGGCAAATGCGGGCTTGTTTGGAAACAGCGTGTCGGTCTCTGCTTTCTCTTTTGCTCTCTGTCTCCCTCAATTCATTCAGCTCCTCATTCTTTATTTGCCTCTTTTTACGAGAACTGCGTTAAAATCTTGTTGATATTTCTACCAGTTTTGACCTGGTCCTACCTCTTTGCAAATACTACTTTTGTGTTGCATATTGAAGTGCAAGGTGTGCTGCCCTTGGCACCAGTCAGATTGTTCCCTTAATTTCTAAAGCTTGCATGATCTTGTGTACCTTACAGTCCCTTTTTCATGAAATGAAAAAGGGACAATAAGACAGACATTATCATGCAAGCATTTGAGATCCTAAACCAAATTTGACCATTTTATAAGGAAAATCTCATTTCTTTTAGTAATTATATGCTCTTGCAATGCTCCTCCTCAATATTTTTTTACATTTTATCGGCAGACTTGTGGCGTATGTCCACCGATACAAGGCCATATTTCGTTCTTATGTTGCCCTAGGAACTATAGTGCAGTTGAATGTGCTCATTCAGTGCAGCGACTTAGGCGGTAATATTTTGTGTTTTTTTAATGTCTTGTCTCGAGTAAAGTGTGAAGAAATGCTAGTGTTTGTGCTACCTGCGTAGCATAGTTAACTTTGCCTTCCTTGATGGCTTCACTTGCATCTCTTACCAATTGCCAGTGAGCTTAGTTTCGTTTTGTGGCCTTTTCCAATGTAGATGGAACACATTGTACAATCTGTCTAACAATCTGCCCGGCATCTTGGAGCTCTTGTAGAAAACAATTGCGGCAAATCCAAACCACTGGAGCTTACAAAAAAAGTGATGTGCACTTGCTATCCTTTGTCTATTGGAAGACCTTGTCGAAGACCTTGGAAATATATTTTACTGAAAAATGACCACCCCAATTCACCATTAAGAAACATTTCACCAATATTGGTGCTGCTTGAATGCCATTCTCAAAAATCATGTGAGCTATTTACATTTCTTTAATTTTTGCTGGTGCTAAATGCCCGTGTTATTAAGGAGATAGCGAAGCGATACATGCGTTTAATTTTTGTCGCCTATTTTTGGTCCACTTCTGTCCTAGGCACAAAGCTTTTGGTGGAAAATTCAAGGGGAAAACATAGATTTAGTCAGGTAAATGCTGCAAAACTACCTGTTACATGACATTGTAAGTGTCGTTTTGGAAATATTTCGTCATGGGTGCTACCACATTTCAGCTCGTGTGGTAAAGTAAATTAACTACTGTATGTTGCAATTTAAACATACTACTGGTTTGTGGGACTAGTCATCCTTTTTCGCACATGTATAGGCTTCTTGATAATGCAAACACTGTGGTGTCTTTGCGGTCACCTTTAAGCTGTACATTTCCTGTAAATTTGTTTGTACAGGTCATAGAAGCAGATGTCCTAGATGGTCCCCCAGTAGTTTTCCCAGTTGTGATGGCTTTTCAGTGTGCAAATTTAGTGCATTTAAGGTCAGGCCTATCCACTGAAGTGTATAAAATACTGTTGATACTTGTTGAAGTGCGGTGTTATGCTTGCTTCGTTAAATTGTGCTGTTGATGCATAAAAGCCAGAGCTTCAGCCCTGGAATCCTGGGCTACAGTTAGGGTTGGACGTTTGTGGGAAAAAGCCTGACCTGACCTGATAAACAAAACCGGTCAAGATATATATAAACTTAGTTTCTCCCCTTATTAAAACGAGGCACTCTAAAGCTATCTTACTATATCAAATAGCTTAATTTCTTTTGATGCAGATGGCAGAATGTGCATGTGCAGCTATGAGGGGAAAAAGTCACAACGGTGAACTTGCGTCTGGTTGCAACTGAATGCGTTGTGCAGCCTTGTGCTTGCTTTCGACTAGAGAACACACTGGCGCATTCTATCGAGTACACTTGCGATTCGCTAATTTTTGGCGCATCATTCTTTCATCATTGACTTTAAAAGCTTGACAATATAAACTATGATTTCTTATAGGTATTACGTATATTTCATCCCGAGAGTGCTGCAAAACCTTCATTTTAGTTGAATGCACTTCCAGAGCTACCTCATAGAGGGCACCAGTCTGCACAAGACCGTGCAACACTTTCAGTTGCAACCAACCGAAAGTGTTTGGACCAACCTTAAAGTGCGCAAAAAGGCGAAAAAGAAACTGTTCAATGTGCTTTCTGTTATAAACAATTCAACTAATTTGAGTGTAGGGACCAGATAGCCCCACTTCGCAAGGCCGAAGTTCAAGAGGTTTTTACGGGAAGGCAGGGACCGTGTGCTCTCTACTTTTTTGTAACCCGCACTTCTGACAGTGACATCTTTGGCTTTGATTTGCTTGTGGCCTACTATTGGCCCTAATCTGTGCCAACGTTCCTGCTGCTCAATTCACTCGGGAATTATTCAAGCTCAACATGTCTCGAAAAGAAATTAAATCGTCCTACGACAGTTCTTGCTTTCCTGGCAATTCTAATTGCAGCAGCCTCAGAACTTACGTGTGTTTTAATGGCGATATTTTCTGAAAGCGAGAATCCTGTGCCCGTAGCTTTATATTTGGCAGTTGCTTCTGCTCGCGGTTAATTAGTGCAGCCAACGTGCGTTTTTAGCGAAGTGCTCGCGCCTGCAGCCTAGAAGCGGAATTGTCGTACGGATGATCACTAGAACAAAAAGCTGGAAAGCAAAAATAAAAACACAGCAAATGAAAACAAAGTAGTATTAACAATATGAATACGTTAGTAAGAGGAGAGCGACGTTTGAAGTGGAAATGAATCGGCGACCGGCTGCGGCCCGCGAGCAGAGTGTTTGTGGTCCCCCGCTGCTCCCGAAGTCGTAAACATCCCAGGCGCCTTTCGAAAAAAATTTCTGGCTACGTCACTGGTGTGATCCAACCTTCAGTGATCGGCTTTTCTTGCGATTTGCGAGCCTTTTATCGGACATCGAAATCGGTGATGCCGAAGTGTGTCCCACTTTATTGGAATGTAAGGCCCAGAAACCTCCAGCCTATACATTTGTAAGATATATTGAAAGGCGTGTCTTGGCACAAGTCCTAGCTTCAACAGCTGAGTGTCGTGTGGCAGGGCGTAAATAAATCTTGACTTTTAGGTTATGTTTGCGCACGTGAACACTTTTTCGGGTCTCGGGAGGCTGGCTTGCGAGTTGATACATTAGCTTGTGAAGAAGCATAGATGTGATTGGCGGACTTGGTTGAAAGGTGTGAAGGGTGCTTGTACATCTGTAATATAATGTAAGGATTGAAAATTCACCTGCCTATGCTACTACTTGTGGTATTGGTTGTCTGGCTTTTATTTACTCGCAGAAAATGTCCGGGAATATGCACTGAATGAAATGTGTCAAATCTGAGATAATATATTGTTCAATAAAGGATGTCCACTTGTCATATGTTTTCTTTTTGCATTCTTTAGGTGCCCGTCTCAAGCGTAGAATGCGCAGCATGAACATGACATTTGAGTCAGCTGTTGCTCGAAGTGAAATCAGTGGATCTTTTTCCAATAAAAGCATTGCAAAGATTGGTGGTGCATAATAAATTTAATAATGTAATGCCCTTGTAAAGACTCCAAAACTGGAAACGGTTAGCGTGTGCATGAAGGACGTGCCCGCGATGCGCGTCAAACGACAGAACCACTTCGTTGTGTGTATTTATTCACCGCGAACGTGCACTCAATCCTGCGGCAGTTTGATCATGCACATTACCTGCCTGTGCAAAGTGAAGTACGCCACATATGGCGCCGTCTGAATGTTATTTATTTGACTTCTCTGGTGCTCCTAAACAGCTTGTGGGCCTATGGAAGGGTGCACCATTTGTCAGATAACATATCTCATAGATGCTAATGTTTGTTAGAGAAACAGAATAAAGTCACTGTAATAAAGAAAAGATGTAAGCACATGGCGGCTCAAGGTTAAATCTATCTATGGGGTGTGCTCAGACTTCAGATAAGGACGGTCATAGAGGTGTCACGCACATGACCGGGGGGGGGGGGGGGGGGGGGCAAGGGCGCTTGCCCCCCCCCCCCTTATACAGCCGGCACTGGGCAGGGCAAACACGCCGGCGGCGCCCAAGGGATACCAAAGGCACCGCCCCCCCCCCCCCCCCGGCTTTTGGGGGGGAAAGGGGGCATCTGGTTTGCCCCCCTCCCACTCAAAAACAAGTTGGTACGCCACTGGCCACGCATGCTTTTTGTTTTCAATTAAAATTTTTGTGAGGTAGAGAAATGCGCCCACACAACGGTAAAAACCTTTTGCAAGAAAAGTTTTGCATTCGTGAGAAACAAACCACACCCAAAATGAGTTTGAAAACAGGACTTTCCCGTTGACGCAACTTTGAACTTTGAAGGCACCTGGAATAGAGAATACATTGTCTATGTTATCAAATTTTTATGCCGATCGAACACAAACTTTACTTCTTAGAAATATCAAACTTATATTATCTGATGATATATACTTAAAAAAAGGCAAACTTTGCTTTTTGAGCAACTCTTGTAAAAGGCATTTTTCGGTGAATTTTTGAATTTTTAGGACACTTTAAAATTAAACCTTCAATCTGATTTTTCTTTTTCCTGAGTATATTGTTTCTAGTACATTTTTAGAAAAAAAATAGCCCTCTACTACATCGCGCCCAAAATTTTCCAAAAAGCTGAAAAACGTGCTTGATTAAAAAAAATCCTCTATTTTCTTCTAACTTTATTCGGTGGATACTTCGGAACCGGTAATTTTATATCTGCAAAAACATGTTGCCTTATATTGTTTGAAATAAAAACGAAAGTCTGAGTACACCTAAGCACTACTTATGAGTTGTGAATGCGAAAGCATCCTGCAACGTATTGCTTCTGCCTCGCGTTGTCGAAGGGCCACGACCTCTTGCCGCCTGAGATACTGAATCACGAACCGCTTGCGCCTCATGCTTTCGAAAGGCTTTGTTCTGTCTGCTAGCGCGTTGCGCTGCTGCCCGTTCCGCCCACCGTGTATTCCGAGACTTGACACGATGGAGGATTTCGCTGTCTGCCTCCTCGCTCGTAGCGCTGCGTTATTCCGCTCCCTTAAGGCTCTGTTAAGGCTCTGTTATACTCCGACGTAACGCGTGCGCGCGTGCGAGCGCGTCACAGCGACGTCACGTCGGCGAAAACCCGACGCTCTATACTCCAGCGTCGTGGCGTAACCGACGCGACCGGCGGCGTTCGACGCAGCTTGACCGCCTCGACGCCAAAATGGAGCATACCGTATTCCGCGCCGGCCGCGCCGGAGACGCCGGACCAGGATGCATCACGCGCTGGCTCCCGGTAGCCCTCACGGCGAATACGAGCAATAGCAGACGACGGGAGCACCACTCCGTGCGGCGTCATGTTTGAAGAATCGGACGTCTCGGTCGTCGAGAAGCTCATCCGAGGGAATTCGTCCTCACCCGTGTGTCTACGACACGAGGAAGCTTGTACCGTAGACCGTGCGCTTGTCAAAGTTGTACCGCATGTGCTGTACATTGACCGCCTACGCTTCCGGGGCATGCGGTGAACCAACAGTGCAGGCGCGAGTTTTCGTCGTGCAAGGTACGTCCACGCCATCGCTCCAACTTGGCGCTCAAGAAGCGCCAGAATTCTCGTCTGCTATTCGAAATGAAAAGGAACCGGAAATGGCGCACTCTCGCAGGAAGCGCGCCCTCGTAGCCAGATTCTGCGCATGCGCCGCGCTGGCGACCCACCGACGCGCGCCGCGGGAGTCGCCGGAGTATAGAGAGGTCGAATTTTTGACGCGCGCGGCGTGACTGACGTGACGTAGCCGACTTCGGCCAGCGTTCGCCTGCGCGCGCGTTACGTCGGAGTATAAAGGCTCTGTTATACTCCGACGTAACGCGCGCGCAGGCGAACGCTGGCCGAAGTCGGCTACGTCACGTCAGTCACGCCGCGCGCGTCAAAAATTCGACCTCTCTATACTCCGGCGACTCCCGCGGCGCGCGTCGGTGGGTCGCCAGCGCGGCGCATGCGCAGAATCTGGCTACGAGGGCGCGCTTCCTGCGAGAGTGCGCCATTTCCGGTTCCTTTTCATTTCGAATAGCAGACGAGAATTCTGGCGCTTCTTGAGCGCCAAGTTGGAGCGATGGCGTGGACGTACCTTGCACGACGAAAACTCGCGCCTGCACTGTTGGTTCACCGCATGCCCCGGAAGCGTAGGCGGTCAATGTACAGCACATGCGGTACAACTTTGACAAGCGCACGGTCTACGGTACAAGCTTCCTCGTGTCGTAGACACACGGGTGAGGACGAATTCCCTCGGATGAGCTTCTCGACGACCGAGACGTCCGATTCTTCAAACATGACGCCGCACGGAGTGGTGCTCCCGTCGTCTGCTATTGCTCGTATTCGCCGTGAGGGCTACCGGGAGCCAGCGCGTGATGCATCCTGGTCCGGCGTCTCCGGCGCGGCCGGCGCGGAATACGGTATGCTCCATTTTGGCGTCGAGGCGGTCAAGCTGCGTCGAACGCCGCCGGTCGCGTCGGTTACGCCACGACGCTGGAGTATAGAGCGTCGGGTTTTCGCCGACGTGACGTCGCTGTGACGCGCTCGCACGCGCGCACGCGTTACGTCGGAGTATAACAGAGCCTTTAAGAACGCGTGCGCGCGTGCGAGCGCGTCACAGCGACGTCACGTCGGCCAAAACCCGACACTCTATACTCCGGCGTCGTGGCGTAACCGACGCGACCGGCGGCGTTCGACGCAGCCTGACCGCCTCGACGCCAAAATGGAGCATGCGGTATTCCGCGCCGGACGCGCCGACGACGCCGGACCAGGATGCATCACGCGCTGGCTCCCGGCAGGCGTCGCGCGGGAAGTGCGGCGAATGCGAGCAATAGCAGACGACAGGAGCACCACTCCGTGTGGCGTGATGTTTGAAGAATCGGACTCGGTCGGTCGAGAACAGGGTGTAAGATAAACAGGTGGGGAAACGAGAGCCAAATGAGCGACCAGATTGTGTCCCTCTCGGTTTTCTCTTTTTCTGTGGCGCCATCTATGTGGAGCACCGCGAACTCTCACTCCGTGTGGGCGAACGGTGGCGACCGGCTAAACTGACGGAGAAGGTTTCTCGTGGATTTTTAATGGTGGACTGTCGTGCTCTCGGTTTATTTTCCGCACTCTCCCATAAAGTTCCATGCAAATTCGATTCCAATTTTTTTCTTCTCGCCGCAGCGCCATCTGTCGCAAATCGGGGGCACCCGCAAGCAGACGAGTACACAATCCGGTCACGGCGCTGCGGTGGGCTTCTATGGGCCGTTTTCCCACCTGTATATCTTACACCCTGGTCGAGAAGCTCATCGAGGGAATTCGTCCTCACCTGTGTGTCTACGACACGAGGAAGCTTGAGTACCGTAGACCGTACGCTTGTCAAAGATTTTACCGTATGTACATTGGCCGCCTACGCTTGCGGCGCAGGTGGTGCACCAACAGTGCAAGCGCGAGTTTTCGTCGAGCAAGGTACGTCCACGCCATCGCTCGAACTTGGCGCTCAAGAAGCGCGAGCATTCTCGTCTGCTATTCGAAACGAAAAGGCACCGGAAGTGGCGCACTCTCGCAGGAAACGTGCCCTCGTAGTCAGATTCTGCGCATGCGCCACGCCGGCGGCCCACCGACGCACAGCCGCGGGAGTCGCCAGGGCCGCCGGAGTATAAAGAGGGCGAATTTTTGACGCGCGCGGCGTGATTTTTTATTTATGTTGATTCTTCTCTTGCGGGCAAGGAATAACCTTACTGAGTCAGGGTTTCGAATAATAAATTCGGAATTCTTTTTTTTCTTTTTAATGGGCAGGAACTAACCTCGCCCAGCCGTGAAAAGTTTTCGAATGATAGATTCGGAAGCTAGTAAACCCTAGGCATGCCAAGGGTCAGGCATTTTCAGAAAATGCCATACAAGTAATTTCTACCTTTGCGTTTGGTGAACCACGCGTTAAATCGCGTGGGTCACTCAGCCAAACACAGGCAAAGAATGTCATTCCGTAGCACTCTGCGGAATGTCCCTTATGCATACAATAGGCTCGACCGCCCCTGTTGAGGGAACGGAATCTATTAATGTTCCCCCCAATCTTTTCGCAACGCTGTGTTGTGTATACATGCAGCAGAGAGATGCTCGCCGACCCATTGCACTTTGGCTCGGAATACTGGGAAACTTGGTGTTGGTGTGACTGGTGACAGTGCTTGGAAATTCGGACACCGCGTGCCGAACCCGATTCGTTCACCCTGGACTCTGTGAAGATGTGCTACAGGCTTCTGGACAAGACACTTGGACATTTAAAGGATCTCCTTCCTTCCTCGGCTCCGCCCCCTTTTCTGCCAGCCACTTTCTGTGGCTCCTCGCGCCCCGCTTGTCGGCTTTGGCGAAACAACCTCCCTCTCTCTTT